CTCCAAAAAGCAAAACAAAACAAAACAAATAGTGTCAAAAGTGAACACAGCCAGATGTAGTTAAAGTGGTGAAAACATTTTATTCAGTAACTACTAATGGTGCGGAAAGAGCTGAGCTCCTTTCTGGTTTATGCTGGAGTTTGAGTCTTTTCAAGGAAGCACGAAGGAGCGGGAGCAGAGCTCAGAAGGGTGGGAGAAGTGAAAAAGAGACAAGGGTCGCTCAGTGTGCAACTGTGCTTGGCGAGGCCACTGCTCCCTGGCAATGAGGGAAGTTAGGGTTCTCTCTCTATCCCTCACCAAGAGGCAAGGCCTTCCTGATGCAATTCAGAGGAATGGCTCTTGCCCTACAGAGAGCTGTTGGTTCCAAGACATACATATTTAAATTTTTTAAGGCCTTTGTAGTAAGTGCTCTATGAAAGGGGTCTGCTGTGAGTTGGCTAGAACAAATACATCAGAACCTCTGTAAGTTGACCATTTGAGGGACGGTAACAAACTGGTTAATATACAGAGGTGGTCAACATAAGGAACTAGGCCTACTGTCCTGATAAGTATATGTGGTGCATGTCCAGTCTATGAAAATTAGGTCAACTTAAGCAGGTGGTCAGTGTAGGGAGGTGGTCATCAATGGAGGGTCCACTGTACATTCTGTTGGTGCTCAGCTTCCCAGGCTGGCTTTCTTTGTTTTTTTTTGTAGAGACAGAGTCTTACTTCATCGCCCTCGGTAGAGTGCCATGGCTTCACACAGCTCACAGCAACGTCCAACTCCTGGGTTTAGGGCCTAGGTGTCCTCAAACTAGGGCCCAGGTGTCCTCAAACTATGGCCACATGTGGCCTGCCTAGGACATTTATTCGGCCTGGTAGGTGTTTTTGCTGCTGCTGCCTGTCCTGCTTAGCAGCCAACTCGTCCCAGGGCCCGCAGTTCTGCCCTCCAATGGTCTGAGGGACAGTGAACTGGCCCCCTGGTTAAAAAGTTTGAGGACCCCTGGCTTAGGCGATTCTCCTGCCTCAGCCTCTGGAGTAGCTGAAACCACAGGCGCCCACCACAACACCCGGCTATTTTTTTTTGTTGTTGCTGTTTGGTCAGGGCAGGCCAGCGCCCTACCCACTAAGCCACAGGTGCTGCCCTGAGGCCGGCTTTCTAACAGGGGCTTGGACAGAGTAGTCACGCTCCGCAGCAGCCCCTCTCTCTGGAAACAGCAGCCAGGACTTTCTGTAAGGCTCTTACTGAGGACCCTCACACAGTCTAATCCATCCAAGAACTTTGAACAATAGTATTATGGCTCGGCGCCTGTGGCTCAAGCGGCTAAGGCGCCAGCCACATACACCTAAGGTGGCGGGTTCGAATCCCCAACCCGGGCCCGCCAAACAACAATGATGGCTGCAACCAAAAAATGGCCAGGCATTGTGGCGGGCGCCTGTAGTCCTAGCTACTTGGGAGGCTGAGGCAGGAGACTCGCTTGAGCCCAGGAGTTGGAGGTTGCTGTGAGCGTGATGCCATGGCACTCTACCCAGGGGGACAGCTTGAGACTCCGTCTCAAAAAAAAAAAAAAGAAAAAGAAAAATAGTATTATGCCTATTTTACAGATGGAGAAACTGAGGCAGAGAGAGTCAAGGCCACCCAGACAGTAGGTGATGCCCTCTCCTGCCCTGACCTATCTTCTGTGGTGTTCCTGGCCCCAGGTTTCCTCCAACTCCTGTTTACCTTGGTGTCTGGCTAGGAACAACCCCTCAAAGACCTGCTTGCAGGGAACTGGGTCCTGGGGAGGGCAGGGCTATTATCTTAGGAGGCCTGCAAAGCTCTGGTTTCCTCTGGTGACCTCTGAGGACCTCCACAAGGCTGGCCTGGCAGGGCTTTCACGGTCCAGGGATGCCCAGCTTCCCCACTCCCCACCTGCGGCCCACCCCATACTGTCTCCTCACCTTTGCTCACATAGTTCTTTTTTTTTTGAGACAGAGTCTCACTATGTTGCTCTCTGTCGCTCTCTGTGGTGGCACAGCTCACAGCAACCTCAAACTCTTGGGCTTAAGTGATTGTCTTGCCTCAGTCTCCCAAGTAGCGGGGACTACAGGGGCCTGCCATGCCTATATTTTTGTTGTTGTTGTTGTAGTTGTTATTGTGTTTAGCAGGCGGAGGCCGGGTTTGAACCTGCCAGCCCCAGTATATGTGGCTGGCACCCTAACCACTGAGCTATGGGCACGGAGCCCTCACACAGTTCTTCTACCTGATGGTCTCTTCCTTCTTGCAGCCAGAGAAATCGTCAGTCCATAATAAACATCATAGAGTGCCTACTGTATTCTAAGTACCTTCCAGGTGCTGTGAGCACAGTGTGAGCAGACTGCACGGCCACTAGGCCATGCCAGAGTGAGGGGAAGGACAGAGCAAGGAAGTCAATCACAGTATACCAGAAGATAAGAGGTGAACAGAAAGGTAGCAGGGGTGCAGGCCCGGGGAGGGGGTACGAATTTAAATAGGGTGCCCAGGTAAAGACATTTCAGCAAAGGCCTACTTTGGTGTATATGGTCAGTGCCCTACCCACTGAGCTACGGGCACCGCCCAGTTTTTCTATTTTTAGTAGAGACAGGGTCTTGCTCTTGCTCAGACTGGTCTAGAACTCCTGAGCTTAAGCAATCCACCCGCCTTGGCCTCCTAGAGTTTTAAAAGATTAAAACAGTCACCATGTCTGTCTGTTTTAATCTTTTTTCAGCACATGTATTGCTTTTACAAGATAAAAGTCAGTTTTGATTAAAATTTTTTTTTTCTTGAGACAAAGTCTTGCTCTGTTGCCCAGGCTAGAGTGCTGTGGTATCAGCCTAGCTCACAGCAACCTCAAACTCCTGGGTTTAAGTGATCCTCCCACTTCAACCTTCCGAGTAGCTGGGACCACCACACCTGGCTAGTTTTTCTATTTTAGTAGAGATGAACTCTTTCTCAGGCTGTTCTCATACTTCTCAGCTCAAGCAATCCTCCTGCCTCAGCTTCCCAGAGTGCTAGGATTATAGACATGAGCCACTGTGCCTGGCCTGATTTTTAAAAAATTGTTAAGACTTATTTATTTATTTATTTTTTGTAGAGACAGAGTCTTACTTTATTGCCTCTGGTAGAGTGCTGTGGCATCATACTGCTCACAGCAACCTCCAACTCCTGGGCTTGGGTGACTCTCTTGCCTCAACCTCCTGAGTAGTTGGGACTACAGGTGCCCACCCCAACCCCTGGCTATTTTTTTTGTTGTTGCAGTTTGGCCAGGGCTGGGTTTGAACCCGCCACCCTTGCTATATGGGGCTGGCGCCCTACCCACTGAGCCACAGGCACCAACCCTCCCCCAAATTGTTAAGATTGGGCGGCACCTGTGGCTCAGTGAGTAGGGCGCCGGCCCCATATACTGAGGGTGGTGGGTTCAAACCCCACCCCGGCCAAACTGCAATAAGAAAATAGCCGGGTGTAGTGGCAGGCGCCTTTAGTCCCAGCTACTTGGGAGGCTGAGGCAAGAGAATCACCTAAGCCCAAGAGCTGGAGGTTGCTGTGAGCTGTGATGCTACAGCGCTCTACTGAGGGTGACAAAGTAAGACTCTGTCTCTTAAAAAAAAATTATTAAGATTTGTTTTAGGGATGGAGTCTTTCTATGTTGCCTGGTCTGGATTCAAACTCCTGTGCTCAGCAATCCTCTTGCCTCAGCCTCCACAGTAGCTGTAACTATAGGCAGTGCCACCATGCCTGGATACTTTTTAAATTTTCTTTAGTGACAGGAGTCTTGCTCTGGCTCAGGCTGGTCTCAAACTCCTAATTTCAAGCAATCCTCCTGTCTCAGCCTCCCAAAGTGCTAGAATTACAGAGATGAGCCATAGAACCTGGCCTGATTTTTTTGTTTTTGTTTTTAAAAGGCAAAGACCCAAGACATACTTATACCAAGAGTTAAAGCTTACTAATTAAAGGAAAGTCAGGAAACAAAAATCAGTCAAAGAGAAAAATAAAGAACTCCCTACTCTCACCGATCCAAAAACTATTTGGTTAACCCCTCAGCAGACATATTTCTTATTTTCCATCCAGATCCCTACAACTTTACATATTTTCTTTCCTTCCTTCCTTCCTTCCTCCCTTCCTCCTTCCCTCCTTCCCTCCCTCTCCTCTTCTTTCTTTCTTTTTGAGACAGAGTCTCACTTTGTCACCCTTGGTAGAGTACCATGGCATCATAGCTCAGAGCGATCTCAAACTTCTGAGCTGAAGCAATCTTCTTGCTTCAGTTTCTCAGTTTTTCTATTTTTGGTAGAGACTCGGTCTCGCTCTTGCTCAGGCTGGTCTGGAACTCCTGAGCTCAAGCAATCTACCTGTCTCGGCCTCACAGAGTACTAGATTGCAGGCGTGAACCGCTGCGCCTGGCCTCCTCTTTTCATATTTTTTACAAAAATAAGATCATAGCACATGCAGTGCTTAGTAACCACCTTGGTTTAGTGAAGCATGCTACCGAGAGCCATCAGGGTGACCCACAGCTCCTTATGATGCAATCAAGGCCTCACCAGTCTGTGAAGGCTCTCACGGCCCCCAGCTAGGCTCGAGGGCTTTCCCCCCTGCCCTAATACTTCCTGGGAGCTCTTGGGACAGGAAATGGTGCCACCCAGGTCCTGTCCTAACAGGGGACCACAAATGCAAAGGAAACCACCCTCTTGTCTCTTCCTCTGCACCCCGAGTTCTCAAGTACACATTCCCATTACTCCAACTCTGACTCTAGCCTGCCCCAGAGTCACCTCTTGCTCTCCATTCCCCAACTAAGACCCAGGAATCCCTATTCCAGCCCCCCGACATCCTCTCCTGCCTCAAGTGAGCCTCAGAAGCCCCCAGCACCATGCCAGACCCCAGAAGGAGCAGGTAAGGGTGCTCTCCTCACATGGCAGCTGCGGGAGCAGGGCGGGTGGGGCAGGATGCAGGGGTGGGGTGGGTGGAGCCAGGCCCACTTCCTTTCCCCTTGGGGCCCTGCAGCCTCAGTCCTGCCCCAGCCTCAGGAGGAGTTGGAGTGGCCTGAACCCAGCCCTGTGTCCTAATCAACTGAGTTGGTAAGGGGGTGCGACCTGGTGGGGCAGGGGCCACAGTGGACCTGAGAAGGTGCCTATGGCTTGAAAAGGCCCTGACAGGTGATGGAAAAAGAGGATCAGATGTCACGGGGCTGCACAAGAGCAGGGGAGACCAGGAGGGGTGGTGGCTGTTGCTGGAGTCAAGAGCTGCCAGGGCTTGGAGGGGCCCTGGGATGGGGCTGATGGGGCAGTTGCCAACATCTGTTCTCTTGTTATTTCTGATAATAGTAAAAGCAAGGGTGGAAGAAGCCGTTAAACCACAAGTTGGGCATGGCCGTTGGCAGGGAAGTGGGCAGGAGGGGAGGGCCTGGCAGGTCCCCTCAACCAGCTCCCATGTGTTCTGTTTCTCCAACTCCCTCTCACCTCAGGTCCCAACTTCTGCTCATGCCTGTTGCCCTGGAAATGGCCCTGCTTCTCCTCTTCTGGGCCCTGGTGGGGAGCCCAGAGGCTCTGGGCAGCCAGACAGCTTTGCCGCCAGTCACGCTCAGCCCTGGAGGGACCTTTGCTTCTTCAGCCTTGAATAACTATGAGGCCTTCACCTCAGAAAAGGACTCCAACATTGGGAGCACTGGAGGGCCGATCTCAAACCCACCTTCAACTCCTTTTATGACCAATGAGTTGTCCTCTCTTGGAACTTCCATTGATGAGGAACGTCCCACCCAAACTGTTTCCCTTGAAAATTCATCAGTGCTCTTGGAAACCTTGACTGTAGCCAGTGACCCTGCTGTCTCCACAGTATCCCACACTGTGACTGGTGGAATCATGACAACTGACTCTCTGGAAATCACCAATGGAACAAATGGGCCCCCTATGAACACAGTAACTAGCTTTCTAGAGACCTCCCATGGGGCTGGTGGACCTCCTGTTACCATGGCAACTGGCTTTCTGGAGACCTCCCATGGGGCCAGTGGACCCTCTGCCACCATAGCAACTAACCCTCTGGACACCTCCCATGGGGCCAGTGGACCCCCTGTCACCATGGCAACTAACCCTCTGGAGACCTCCCATGGGGCCAGTGGACCCCCTGTCACCATGGCAACTAACCCTCTGGAGACCTCCCATGGGGCCAGTGGACCCCATGTCACCATGGCAACTAGCTCTCTGGAGACCTCCCATGGGGCCAGTGGACCCCCTGTCACCATGACAACTAACCCTCTGGAGACCTCCCATGGGACCAGTGGACCTACCATCAGCATGACAACTAGCTCTGTGGAGACTTCCCATGGGGCTGGTGTAAAAATATCCACAGTGATTACTCCTATCATTAGGCCCTCCCCAAATCCAGATGAGAGGTCAAACAAAATGCTGCTGGTGGCTGTGCTTGTGGCCCTGCTGGTGGTTATTATCCTCATAGTTCTGCTCCTACTATGGCGCCAGCGGCAGAAGCAGCGCACCGGGGCCCTGACACTAAACAGAGATGGAAAGCGCAATGGGGTGGTAGATGCCTGGGCTGGGCCTGCCCAGGTCTCTGATGAGGGGACCGTGGCAGTGACAATGGGAGGGCCTGGGGATGACAAGGGTTCTGGGGTCCCCAATGGGGAGGGGTCTGGCCAGCGGCCCACGCTTACTACTTTCTTTGGCAGAAGAAAATCTCGCCAGGACTCTGTGGCACTGGAGGAGCTGAAGTCTGAGCCAGGCCCCAGCCTAAAGGGGGAGAAAGAGCCACTGATGGGCAGTGAGGAGAGGGCTCTGGAGGCTCCCTTTTCTGATGGGTCAGAGGCAGGAGATGGGGCCGCATTGCAGAGCTCATGAAGGGCAAGAGTGGAGGGCAGAATGCTTGCCAGCTTCTGTCACCTTCCTTCTCCTCATCCCCTCCAGCCCCGGCCCCTAGTGCTTCCCTGCAGCCTGCTCTGCATCTTCACCTCGCTTCTCCACCCTGGGCCTTCCTGCAGCATCCTGCCCCAGCACTGCACTTAGCACGGGGCCAGAGCCTGCACCCCTGGCCATCTGTAGATTGAGTTGAGGGAAAGAACCTTTCTCAGCAACCCTACTTCTCCCCATCGCCTTTTTTCCATGTTTTTTTTTCCCCTTGGAACTAGCTACTGAGACTCCATAACACCAAATTTACTTGACCTATGATTTCTTGATGGATCCCCAGAGGTCTCAGAGTCTAGAAAGAAGGAGGAAAAGACAACCCAGCAAACTCCCATGTACAATTAACTTTCTAAAGCTCACCTGGCCCTGTGCTTAGAAGGGCTTTCTTAGGGGGCCCAGAACTCCTTTAGCTCTGGGCTGTGGGCCAGCCTGGAGCACCAGTGAGGCCCTCTGCCCATGCTCTCAGGTGGGCCTGTGACATTTCCCAGAGCATCTGGACTCTAGGACTGGCCCCTGCCTCAAGCCTCCATACTCTCCCCCACCTATGGGCTGAGGCAGCCAGAGGCTTTGCTCTGTCTCCTCCTAAGCACAGAGGTGAGAAGAGTTTCTGTCGTTCTCCGAAGGCCCAGCACCTGCACGAGTCCATCCATAGGTGCAGTCTGTGTGTAAGAAGTGAGGATGTGGTGATGCTTGTGAAGGGTAGTGGTGAGTACAGTGTGAGGGAGGGGACAGGAAGGGGTACAGATGCCAGCTTGGGGTGGGAGGACACAGGACTGTTGAGAACATATGTGTTCTCATCTTTGCTCAGATGGTGGGGACACAGCAGAAAATGTACCTCTATCTGTAGTCTAGTAAAGAATTCCCATCTTGATAGAAAGTTCACATGTGTGATCCAAGTGGGGGTTTTTCAGCTCAGATACTATATCCCTTTCCCAAAGTCTCTCTCCCTCCAGTGTACACCTGTGTGCACACCACACATGCACATACACACACAGGGAGAGGAGTTTGCCAGTAAGGGCGACTGGGTAATGCAAAAACCACTGGTCTTGCTGACGCATTTCCCCTGGTTCTGTGTTTAATTGGTGTGTCTGTGTGTCTGTGTCTCCTTTTCCACTCAGGGGCTGAGCATTGTCCCCCTCCAGGGGAATCAGCGAGAGTGAGTTAAATAAGAGAAGACAGCCAGGGAGCAGGGACTTCCCCTGTGGGTCTTGGGTGGAGAGGAGGGGGCCAGTCAGCTCCAACTGTGCTCCTCTGAGAGCTACCTAGGCTGTGTCCAAGGAAGCATGGGCCAGAGATGGTTGATGTTTCCCCAGGGCAAAGAGGAAATTTGCAAAGAGGAAGTTGTTGAGTCAGAGGGTGCAGTGGCTGAGAGCAGACTGACTGACCTAGAAAAAGAGACATGGGACCCATGTGTGTGTGACTGCCTTGTGGCCTGAATGGGAGATGGGAAAGAGTCAGGTAGGTCAGTTTGTGAGGTGGAGGAGGGGAGGAGAGAGATGGGCGGAAAGTGTCATGGTCTATGGAGGAGGGCTGAGCTGGGATGGAACCCAGCCTTCCCCCAGCCAGACTGAGCACCCATGCTGCTGTGTCTGGTCTAGGCGCCTTTTCCTACTTCTCACAAGGTGCTGTTTGCACTAATTATAGCCCCAGCATGATAGAAATGAGTTCCAAAGTCTCTTAGAGATTCTGCAAGTGTTGTCTTGGATTTGTCAAACCAAGTGCCCCACTTTCAGGTTTAGAAAACACTGCCACTGAACTCCAAGGTCATTAGCGCCACCTCTCAATGGACAGATGCAGTCATCGGTGAGCTGTGACCTGTTTCTGGGCGAATCCTGAAGGGTACGGGTGGTAAGGCACTGAACAGGTCTTTCAGAGTCCAGAAAACATCAAAATAATATTGTAAGAGTTAAAATAGGTGCACAAACAGAATTTTATGAGCACACCAAAGGAAGAGTGACCTGGGGAAAGATTGAGAGAGAGGCTTCACTTGAGTTTGTCTAGGTTAGGGCCTTAGTCATAGCTACTGCTTTACTCCTGGTGGCCACAGTGCCTGGCCAGCTGCAGGTCCTCAGAGAATATGCATTGACTGAATGAATGAATGTGAGGACCTTATAGAGGTTTGGAGGCTGAGAAGGATTTTGACAGGGGAAGGATACTCTTGGCAGTGGGGATGGCCGGTGCAAAAAACGTGGCAAGGGAAGCAGAGCAGTGCAATGTGAATTCTTTTTGGGACAAATGTGGAGTAATAAATGCCACTAGATTCTCTAGGGAAAAGAAAAGCAAAGGAAATAGTAGGTATTGTAAAACAAAAAGGGAGGGGGAGAAGAAGACAGGGTGAGAAACAATAAGGAAATATAAAATATGGTGAAAGGCTAACTATACCAGTTATGAAAATAATTGTAAATGGCTTATAGTACTTGCCATAATCGCTAAAAATCATCTTTTCAAAAACTGTGTAATGACTTTGGAAAATGCCAGCAATATAATGTTAGGGAAAAAAGCACATCCCTAATCTGTAAATACATATGATTCTAGTTTTGTAACAAAAATTCAAAAACATATGTACCCTTGGATTGACCAAGGGTCAATTAGAGGAAAAAAAGGAAATGCTCCAAATATTTACTGTGGTTATTATCTCTAAGGTGGCTGTTTGGTATTTTGTTTTTATTTTGTTTATACTTTCCTGTATTTTCCAAATTTTTTTTACAATAAACATCTATTACGTTCACAGTTTGAAAAAATATTGGTAAAAACGATGTTCAAGAAGGTGGCGTGGGGTGTCTGGTTTGAGGAGAGCTGTGTGTGGTGAGGTTGGTTGCCAGGGAGGCTGGACCCACGCTGCGAAGGGCTGGGGAGTTTGAGTTTAGTTCTGAAAGTAGTGGGGAAGCCGCTAAACCCAAATCTGCTCCACGCCTGTCTTCTGGGCGTCAGCAGAGGTAGTAGCATCATGCATCCTGTGGCTGAGGCGAAACACCTTAAAATCATGGGGGAGTCCTAGTCTCTCCCTGTCCTCACTTCCCATATCCCCACTCCGGCTGGTTCCTCTTCAAGCAGTCCTCCAGTCCCTTCCTTCTCTCTAGGCCACTTCACACCTTGCTGGGACCTGAGACTTCCGTTTTGGTTTCCTGACCCCATCCCTTCCATCCTCTGTTAACAATGGTCCCAGGGACCTTTCTTTTTTTTTTTTTTTTTTTATTGAGACAGAGTCTTACTTTGGCACCCTCCGTAGAGTGCTGTAGCGTCACAACTTATAGCAACTTCTAACTCTTGGGCTTAAGCAATTCTCTTGCCTCAGCCTCCCAAGTTGCTGGGACCACAGGTGCCTGCCACAATGCCTGGCTATATTTTTGTTGCAGTTGTCATTGTCCAGCAGGCCCGGGCTGGGCTTGAACCCGCCAGCCTCAATGTATGTGGTTGGCACCCTACTCACTGAGCTATGGGCACTGAGCCTTTTTTTTTTATGGAGACAGAGTCTCACTTTGTTACCCTCAGTAGAATGCTGTGGTGTCATAGCTCATAGCAACCTGAAACTTATGGGCTCAAGTGGTTCTTTTGTTTCAGCTTCCTGAGTGGCTTGGGACTACAGGTGCCCACCACAATGCTCAGCTATTTTTGGAGATGAGGTCTTGCTCTGACTCAAGCTGGTCTCCAACCTGTTAGCACAGGCAATCCACCCACCCGCCTTGACCTCCCAAGTGCTGGGATTAGCGTGAGCCACCCACCTGGCTCTCCAGGGATCCTTCTATTAGATTCCCCTGTCCAGGTGTTACTCCTGCACCTCCCTCCCTCATTCCTTAGCACAGAGTATAAGACTCCCCAGGAGCTGGCCCTGCCTCTCTCCTGCCCAGCCCAGCCTGGCCAGCCAACACTGTAAGCCTCTTGAAATCCCTGTTGCCATGTGTTTTTTTTTTTGGAGGCGGGTGGTGGTAGAAGAGACTATAGTTTAAAATGCTGAAAATATTTATTTTGTTCAGACAGATAGTAAAGTAATATTTTTTTCCTCTGGAAAAATAACAGATTCTTTATAGAATTCATACACATATACACATTCATGTGATGTATTATACTTCATCTTATATTTTTAATATATGTTTCTATTATATTCTCCAAAGTACTCATTAAAATCAGCTTTACAAATAAAGCTGTGTCACAAAGTGAAAATTCCAGATGGAAGAAAGATTTGGCTGGGGAAGGTTTTAGAAATCTGGTAATCCAGTTTACTTTTAAGGCTAGAAAAAGGGCCTCAATGCATGGTTCTAAGAACATTCCATTCTGAAAAATGTACATTTGCACCTATGTTTCCTCTGCATCTCCATTTCAGACCCTTGACCATGTCTGGTTGGGTAGGCAAAGCCTGTTGAAGGAGGATAGGCCACCTGGGGGCTGTGGGAGCAGGTGACTCTGGTGAGTTCTGTTCTGAGCCTGTCATCCTTAGGTGAGGAACAAGAAACAGATCCCATCCCTGAGCCACCAAACTCAGACTGTGTCAGGAGGGAGATTACTGTTAACCAAACAAGAGAGGAATACAATCACAATCTCTAAATTCCCAAAGTAGTAACAAAATCAGACTTGAATAAAAGGAGAAAACGTCTGACCTCTAAGAGAGTCTTTAAGTGGGCCAGGTGGGGTGGCTCACACCTGTAATTCTAGCATTCTGGGAGGCCGAGGCAGGTGGATTGCCTGAGTTCACAGGTTCGAGACTAGCCTGAGCAAGTTTGAAACCCTATCTCTAAAACATAGTTGGGCATTATGGTGGGTGCCTGTAGTCCCAGCTACTTGGGAGGCTGAAGCAAGAGAATTGTTTGAGCCCAACTCTTTGAGGTTGCTGTGAGCTATGACACCATGACACTCTACTGAAAGTGACAAAGTGAGACTCTTGTCTCAAAAAAAAAAAAAAGAAAAAGAAAAAGAAAAAAAAGAGTGTTTACGTGGAAGAGCTGACACAGTAGTGACTGCCCAGTTCCTGGGTAGGACCAGTTTGAGGTAGAGCCATTAGACAATGAAAACACAGAGCATTTGGGAGACCATCTACTCGCTCCCAGTGATGAGTGCAGGTGCGGTGCTCAGAGCCTGCCTACCTAGCTTATAGCATCAGAACAGCTTGTTTGAGCCCTTGCCAAGATCCCAGTTGAAGCAGAGCTGACTCCGAGTTGGCCACAGAGAGAGCCACATACTCACCCCTGCACTTGTACGCTCTCTGCCTGGAGCCAGCCCACCCCCAGCTGGCCCTACAACACACAGGTCTTGACTTCTCGCCAACTCCTTCTCAACCGTCAAGATTTAGTTCACATGTCACTGGCTTTGTGAAGCTGCCCTGGCTGTCCCCACCCCAAATGGACTTAGTGTTTCTTTTCCATTTCTATAGTGCCATATGTGTGTGACAGCATGAGTAACTGGGCTGTACTGACGTGACAGTGTCCTGCACTATTGGAGTGTAAGCCTTTCCAGGCCACATATCCTCTCTTTCACTCCAGAGTCCAGGTCTAGTATGTGTTTACTGAATGGAAAGACAAATGAAATAACAAACAATAGTTTTAAAATAAATGTATGGCAAGATCAGGTCTGTCTTTCGAGTCAACCTTGCCATTCAGGAAACGGCCTGAGGAAGTGCAGCCCAAGATGAGAGCAAGGTGGCCCAAGGTTGAAAAAGTCAGGTCTGAAATAGATTTATTCAGAGAAAAAGATTTTAGAACATATTGGCTATTGAGGGGATGGGAAGAAGAATGGGGCTAGATTTTCAACATGCTGATAATCATTGTCTGGAAATGCAAGGGGATGAGCAGTTTTTGCAAAAACAGTGAGCTCATTTTGAGGACTATTAGGTGGGCTGTTTTGGAGATAGAAATAGAGGCCTGAGCCAGGTGCAATAGCTCATGCCTATAATCCTAGCACTCTGGGAGGCTGAGGTGGGAGGATCATTTGAGCTCAGGAGTTCCAGACCAGCCTGAGCAAGAGTGAGACCCTATTTTTACTAGAAATAGAAAAATTAGCTGGGTGTTGTGGTATGCACTATAGTCCCAGCTACTTAGGAGGCTGAGACAGAAGGATTGCTAGAGCCCAGGAGTTTGTGGTTGCTGTGAGCAAAAGAGTGAGACTCTGTCTCCAATAAATAAATAAAAATAGAGGCCTGGAGCTTGGGAGGGAAGTCAGGCTGGAGATAATAGATTTAAGAGTATCTGACTATAGGCTTAGCGCCTATAGCTCATTGGCTAGGGCACCAGCCACATACACCAGAGCTGGCGGGTTCAAACCCAAACCCAGCCTGGGCCTGCCAAACAACAATGACAATGACAATAACAATAACAACAACAACAAAAATAGCCAGGTGTTGTGGCAGGCTCCTGTAGTCCCAGCTCCTTGGGAGGCTGAGGCAGGATAATCACTTAAGCCCAAGAGTTTGAGGTTGCTGTGAGCTGTGACACCATAGCACTTTACTGAGGGCGACATAGTAAGACTGTCTCAAAATAAATAATAAATAAGAGTATCTGTCTTGGCACCTGTGGCTCAAGTGGCTAAGGTGCCAGCCACATACACCTAAGGTGGTGGGTTCGAATCCCCAGCCCGGGCTCGCCAAACAACAATGATGGCTGCAACCAAAAAATGGCCAGGCGTTGTGGTGGGCGCCTGTAGTCCCAGCTATTTGGGAGGCTGAGTCAGGAGACTCGCTTGAGCCCAGGAGTTGGAGGTTGCTATGAGCTGTGATGCCATGGCACTCTACGCAGGGGGATAGCTTGAGGCTCTGTCTAAAAAAAAAAGAGTATCTGACTGTAAATAGCAATTTAAGTAATAGTATGAATGGATAAATACATAAACTATATCATCTAATACGTAAATTGAGAAGAGAGCTATAGAGAGAATCTTAGTGTAGTAATCAGGGCAGGTCAACTGCTATAATATTCAACTCCAAAGTCTCAGTGGTATAACTTAAGAGAAGTTTTTTCTTGTTTATGTAACAGTTTATTGCTTCCACAAGGTCATTCAGGGACCTAATCTTCTTCCATTCTGTGGCTCTGTCATTCTCCTATGACCTTGGAGTGTTCTGCTTTCAACCAGCTGATGAGAGAGAAATGAGAGTGGGCTCCTATGAAGACTTACAAGGGCCAGGTCTGGAAACCTCAGGTCTCATTTTGCCCATACCTCATTGGCCCGAATTCAGTCTCAGGGCTTCCCTGGTGCAAATGATGCTGGGAAATGTAGTTTAGCAGGTGCTCCAGAGGAAAAGAGCAACAGCCCCCACCACACTGCAGGAACACCAAAATCTGGGGGATGAATATAGGAACAAAGGCCTGCAGACAAGAGTCTCAAAAAATGAACCAGGAGAGAAATGACATTTGGGAGAGAAAAGGAGAATAAAGTTTGCTAGAGGGCTGGCAAAAGAAGGTAGACGGCTGGAGTGAGGCAAAAGTGGGCCTAGGATGAAGCCTCCTTAAATTCTGTGCCCTGGTTAACTGGCTCCCCTTGCCCTAGACCCAGTCCTGGCAGTCAAGTGCCACAGAAGAAGAAATGGGAGAACCCCAGGAGGATGCCAGTAGGTTTGGCAACCAGTGGTCCCTGTGAGTGACTTTAGCAAGAAAGATTTCCGATGAAGAAATGAAGGCCTTGGTGGTACTAGGACAGGAACTTGCATGAAGTTCCAGTATTGGCTATTGGCAGTTTCCCGGTTTTCCTGTTTAGAAGCTGAGCTCTGAGCTACCTGTGCCCTTAATGTTCCTTGGGACGGGGAAGGAAAGGGCAGTAGGTATTAATTCGTTGATTCTGTGTCACTTGCAAAGTTTTCTCAGTTGATTCTCCCTTGAGGTGGGTGTTATTCCATTTTGTAGCTAATGAAATTGAGGCACAGAAAAAGGTAAAAATGGATTTGAGATCAAAAAGGAATTAGGATTTAAACCTAGCTCTGAGGCCTGTGATTTTTGAATTAGGATTTGAACCTAGCTCTGAGGCCTGTGATTTTCCCAGGGCATCGCCCAAAAGGCTTTCTTACCCTCACAAGGGGGCACATTCTTCAGTTCGCAGCTCACACTCTGGTAGGGTCAGGAGAGGTGGGTGTGGGTAGAGAACAGGGCCTCCAGCTCCCTTCACTGGCTGGAGCCAGTCAAGAGAGGACTTTGGGGCTTCCCAACTGAGAGCCTTCCCCTGAGTGAAGGGAGCACACTGAGGTCTGTACAGCCCAAGGGTTCTGGAGGAGGGCAGGAGGGAGGTCCAGAGGAAAGGAGAAGGGCTGGTCTGGCTGCAAGGCCAGCCTCCCCCCTGCAGCCCCACCCCCACCCTCTGCTGGGTTTCACACACTGGACCTGAGCAGTGGACACAGCAACCGGACAGCTCCAAGTCACAATGGACGCTGAAGGTAAAGGGGCACTCTCCCCTGTGTCCCTGCAGCCCCATCTCTCCTACTGCCTGTTCCTCTCCCCATCCTGACCTGCTCAGCCCTTTGTCTGTCCTTGGGAAGACTTTCTCCCCTCTGGTCTCACCGCCCAACAGGCCTCTTCTCCTCTTCTTTCTCCTTTTATGTTGTGTCCCCAGAGAGTTCTGGGGAACAAAGGGGCTTGAGCCCAGAAAGGGCAGGGGCAGCCTGGGGAGGCAGTGTCCCCTGGGGTCTGAAGGGGCCAGTAGAGGAAGCTGGCCAGGGGAGCAGTCCTGCACTTTGGCCCTCACTGGTCACAGAGGAGGAGCAGAGGCAAAGTCCCAGGCCACATTGGTGGGGGAGGGACTCGAGTCCTGGTATTCCCTGCCATGGGGTGGGGTGATGTCTGGAAGGAGCCAGAGGGAACAGGCTCTGGAGTTGAAAGACTCCATCAGGGATAGGCTGTGTGACTTGGGCAGGCTGGGTAAAATGACAATAATAGGTCCCTGCTCACAAGGTTGTAGGGAGGATACATGACAGGAGGCTTGGGGTGTCTGAGGTGTCCTTAAGTTCCTGCCTTTTCACCTTCTCTACCCAGGCCTCTCCCTACCCAGCCCCTGACTCCTTTCCTCTTTCTGGGATACTTGCTGGCCCCCCACACCCAGCCCCTCTTCTTGGCTGTGGAGTTAATGTCTTGGGGGTTCCCTGCAGGGTGACACAATGGACACTTTTCAATCTCCATTGCAGTCTTTTCTTTTGAAATAACACCACCTAGATTTGAAACCCAACTGCTGCTTGCCAGCTGTGGGAACCCCAGGCAAGTTATTTAACCTGTAGGAGCCTCAGTTCCCACATCTGGAGAATGGAGACAATGGCACCGTTCTCGCAGAGTTGTAGTGGGAATTAAGTACTTTAGCAAATGTCAAGTTATCTTCACCTGATTCTTTTAGGGCTGGGTTTTTTTGTTTCTTTTTTTTTTTGTAGAGACAGAGTCTCACTTTATTGCCCTAGGTAGAGTGCTATGGCATCACACAGTTCACAGCACCCTCCAACTCCTGGGCTCAGGAGATTGATTCTCTTGCCTCAGCCTCCTGAGTAGCTGGGAATACAGGCACCCACCACAACACCTGGCTATTTTTTTGTTGCCATTTGGCCGGGGCCGGGTTTGAACCTGCCACCCTTGGTATATGGGGCCGGTGCCCTACCCACTGAGCCACAGGTGACACCCTGTTTGTTTTTTTTTTTAATGTTTTGTAGAGATGAGATTTCTTGATATCACTAGAGTGGTCTCAAACTCCTGGGTTCAAGGAATCCTCTGGCCTTGGCCTCTCAACGTGTTGGGAATCACTGGCCAAACTTACCAGGTAGTTTAGAAATAATCTCAGAGTCATTTCTTTTCTTTCTTTCTTTTTTTTTTTTTTTTTT